GGGAGATCCCCCGGGGTCCCGCGCGGGTTTTCCCCCAGAGAAGGGGCAAGCTCTCCTCTTCCACCTCAAGGCGACCTCCCGCGGGGGCGGCGGCGGCGGGAGGCCTTTTCAATCCTAGAGCGGGGGCCCCGAGCTCCGGGGCCCAAAAGCCCGCCAAGAGGAGGGAGCGCACCCCAAAGAAAGGCCCCCCCCCGCCCTCCGGGACCGGGGGGGGGGGGGGGTCCCCAGAGCGCCTCTCTTGGAGCGCCGCCACCGCCACCCAGTCCCAGAGCGCCGCGGACAGCGGCCGGGCGATGACACTGCTCCAATCGTTACCCGTACTGAGTGTTATGTGTATGCACTCTGCCCCCTATGCATTCGCATCGTGATATGCATCCTTACCGATCCATAACCCTAGCGCGTATACATTTACGTATTTGCAAAATACTCTACGTCGCCCTCTCCCACCCTCGGCCTCGCGGTGCACCCTGCTTGGCTAGTGCCATTTCACTCTGACACGCTAATCTTGAAAACGTCTCCAACGGAGCTCCGTGTTGCTCCCAGCGCCCTCCCCCGCGCTCCCTGCGGCCATGGCCGATACTACTAGTATGAGCGGTCATCTGGCTACCGCGAGAGCGACCCAACTCGTCGACATCGTCCGATGATGGTGCCGCAAAGTCAGCCTTCGGAGGCTATCGTGGGGTCGAGCCGGCAGTAGCCGTGACATGTGGTTCCACCACCCCTCGTAGGCTTTGCCTCTGACCGCCACCGTTCCCAGGCTGCCTAATGGGACGGAAAGGAAGGCTGGGAGAGCGTATAGAAGCGTGCCCGACCTCGTCGTGGCAACCTGCACGGCAGCGCTGGCAGGCGCGATGAGCGTCGTGCCACTTGACCGGAGACGGGTCGCAGGCGTCGTACCGAGCGCGTCAAGTCCGTGTACTGATGTGATCTGCACGGGTGAGTCACGTCGGCATCAAAGGAGCGACATGCGACCTGTCAGAGCTTGATCTCCGATCTCAGCGGCGTCGAGTCGTCTCCGGCGGCGACAATTTGGTACATCTCCAGGACGCGCAGAGGCAGCTGCCTGATCCCGCCGAGTGGACGGGGGCACTCCGCGCCACCTGCCGAGTGCCCCCCGTCCACTCGGCAGGGTCGCAGCTTCCTCTGGAAGGCACCGAGAGGTACCAAATGGCGCAAATGGTCAAATCAAGGTTTTGTAACGCGATCTGTGCCAGAGTGAATTGGCACTAGCCCTGTAGCCTGTTACTGGTGACCATAGAGAGCATAGACCATAGTAGTGTCTGTCTTGTTTGCGAGATCTTCCAACGATAAAGTCTCGACAATCACTAAGCTGCTTATGTGGCACCGCAGAGGCTCCCTTGGGGATGCCTGAGGCCACCCCAACCACTCACTAAGCCGTGTGACCAGGTAAGCCGCTTGCGGTCTTCACGATCTAGGGGGTGGCGCTCTGGGCCTCTGCGCTCTGGCCCGGCTCGCCACCTGCCTTGCGCTTCCTGAGCTTCACGAAGGCGCTCCGGCCAGCGTCGTCGCCGATGTAACTTCTGCCGGCGTCGGTGATGTCTGCGCGGCAGCCACGGCGTCGAAACAGCTTCTTGAGAGCATGCAGCGGCGTCGAGTGCATCTGCATGCCGCCCTGGCGAATCGACGCGCCCATGTCGCAGCCCGTGTCCCCTGGCGTCTTGTGCGGGATCTGCAGCCATCCCGAGCCGCCGGGGATGAGCAGATCGCAGAGCTGCTCGAGGTAGACAACCTGCAGCGCGGGCACCATGTGCTGCAGTGCGATCACGCTGTGCACAAAGTCGAACCGCGTCTTGGCCATTGGGGCCAGAAGGTCGGGGCTGGAGGCGACAAACTCCACCGCGCCCGCCTTCTTGCGCTTGGCCCACTCCTGAGGTGCGGGGTGTAGGGGCCCGGTGCGCGCAGCGAGATAGTTGAGCGGTGACGAGGTGTGTGTGTGGGAGGGGAGGAGGGGGGGGGGGGGGGGAGGGGTCCTGCTCCGCGATTCCCAAGTGGGGCACGCTCTGGTCGACGCAAGTCACGGGGGCACCCAGCTGGTTGGCAAACGCGAAACTCAGCCGGCCTAGCCCGCACCCAAAGTCGAGGACGCGCTTGCCCGTCAGGTGGAGGCCCTTTGCCACCTTCGCGACGTGTTTTGCGCCGCTCGCGTAGAATCTCACCTTCTCGGTCTCCGAGATGTCGGCCGTCTTTGGGAGGCCGATCAGTACCGACCACCACGCCATGGTCTTCCCCATCGTGTTCCACTCGATCTGGTGCGCGGCAAAAACGGGATAGACGGAGAAGAGCGTGACGTTGTAGTCGCATTTTTCGACATTGTAGATGCGGTAGTCGCCGTTGCTGACCATTCCCGAGACCAGGTTCTCGCTGTTGCTGGCGGTCAGGGCGGTGCCGGTCGGCTGCGCGGCAGGCTGGAGTAGAAGCAGAAGCACGGACATGAATACACTCTGGGTTCCGACACAGCCGGCGGGCAAAAGGCGCTGTTCACGTAAACGCACAACCCCTGGGAACCGAAATCGCACAGAGAGAGAGAGAGAGAGAGAGAGAGAGAGAGAGAGAGAGAGAGAGAAATCGCACAGAGTCACGCAACACGGGATCCCAGGGAAGGCGAGCAAAAACCTTCTCGCGCGCGCTAGACGCCGACTCGGAGGCCGCACCGGTCAGGCGCGCAGCCGGAGAGAGAGGGAGGCGCTCAATCGCCGCACGCGGCGAGCGCCTCCATCATCTCCGCCTCATACGCACCCTCCACCCCCGCGACGTTCACACAACAAACGCCGTTCCCACCACTCGGGGAATTCCTGACTTCGGACCCGATTACGCTGCCGCCTCGCGCGCCCGTCGGATGTGTGGACTGACGAGACGAAGACTTACCTGTTACCCTCATCCACATCATTCCTACGATGGCCGGCGCACTGCCTGACCACAACACGCCCCGCGAAACGATATGACCAAAACGCCGTCCCGACACCGGGAAGACCTCACGTGTACACAGTCACACACCCGCACACACACACACACACCACACACACACACCACACACACACACACACCGCGACCTAACCCGACCTCTGACTCACTTCACTCCCTCCGACGCACAGCCGCTTGGGTGCCGAACCTTCTCACTTCACACTTGGCCGCGCGCCGCGGCGGCGAGGAGAGGGAGGGCCCCGACCGGGTCGCTTTCGCGGGGGTGAAGTGAGCGGCGGAGGCGAAGGCCACCAAGTCAGATGTACCGTCACACAACAAGCGCCGTTCACACTCGGGAAAAAGGTGTGTAGCCCCAAATCGGGTCCTGACTCGACTCGCAGCATCGATTTCAACTCACGCGACGCGCTCGGCCTCCGCTGGCGGCTGCCGCAAGAGCGGCTGGCTCACGACAGCGTCTCGCCGGTTGCCGGATAGGAGAGTACAGGACGTCTGGAGTGTAACTGTGTACGTGAGATTGGTATTGATAACAAGCACGGTCGATCCGTCAAAGCGATACACTCGTTCCTATCTCGCTGGAGGGCTGGCACGGAGCTCTGTGCCGGCACACAGCAAGAGCCGTGCGGCAAGAAGAGCTCGATGGGGAGCGAGAACTGCCAGAGGTGCTCACCCAGGTTTCGGAAGTCCACCCTGATGCGGTCAGTTCCCCCCAGGTTTGACCGCGCAGCTCGCAAGACTCGTCGAGCACTCGCAGCCTTTCTGCGCCTCTCATGCTGCCGCTCTGCGGGAAGTTCCCCCCACGAGCGGCGAAGGAGTGCTCCGCTGGGTCACGCCACGGGGGCCCGCCGCCTCAGTTGCGACTTTCGGATGCGGTAGGGCTTGCACGAGCGCCTGTTCAGTCTACGCTAGACCGAACGAACTGGGGGCGGGGCCTGCTATAAAATTGAGGTTGGGTAGGTATCGTCGTTGTGGCGGGCCACTCTGCCCTTGGAGCACTTGGAGTGCAGTCAGCAACCGCACATCCAGGGCCGGGGAGCTCAGAAGCGCACCCAGCGGGCCGGATGATTGGCATCGGGTTGCGGGCAAGAGAGCCCTAGCGCCCCGATCCGCTGCCACTTCCTCTTTTTCCGAGCCAGCGCGCTGAGAGCCTCGAGAGCAGCGGCGCGCTGGAACTGATGGCCGCGTCGTCAAAGAGGAAGGTGACGTATTTCCACGATGCCGACACGATGGGCTCCTACTACTACGGCCCGGGCCATCCGATGAAGCCGCACCGGCTGGCGATGACGCATAACCTCATCCTCTCGTACCACCTCTACCGGAAGATGGAGGTGTGCCGGCCGCACCTCGCCACCGACGAGGAGATGCTCCAGTTCCACGCCGCGGAGTACGTCGACTTTCTGCGGCGAGTGACGCCGGACAACCAGCCCGACTTCTCGAAGCAGCTGCAGCGCTTCACCGTCGGCGACGACTGCCCCGTCTTTGACGGCCTGTACGACTACTGCCGCCTGTACACGGGAGGCTCGATCGACGGCGCGATGCGCCTCAACGCTGGCACTGCCGACGTCGCGATCAACTGGGCGGGCGGGCTGCACCACGCGAAGCGATCCGAGGCGTCCGGCTTCTGCTACGTCAACGACATCGTGCTCGCGATCCTGCAGCTGCTCAAGGTGCACGCTCGCGTGCTCTACCTGGACATCGACATCCACCACGGCGACGGCGTCGAGGAGGCCTTCTTCACGACGGACCGCGTGATGACCGTCTCCTTTCACAAGTACGGCGACTTCTTCTTCCCCGGCACCGGCGACGTCAAGGACGTCGGCATCAGGGCGGGCAAGTACTACTCGGTCAACGTGCCGCTGCGCGACGGGGTGAACGACGACGCGTACCAGCGGCTGTTCAAGCCGGTGATGGAGGAGGTGATGAACCTCTACCGCCCCAGCGCGCTCGTGCTGCAGTGCGGCGCCGACTCGCTCGCGGGCGACCGGCTCGGCTGGCTCCACCTGCCCTGGACCTGTCCTAGACCTCTCCTGGAACCTACCTGTAGGCGACCGGCTCGGCTGCTTCAACCTGTCCCACCGCGGCCACGCCGAGTGCTTGCGGCACATGCTGTCGTACAACCTGCCGTCGCTTGTGCTGGGGGGGGGCGGGTGCGCCGTGGCAGGGGGAAGGGGGGTAGGGGGGTAGGGGGGTAGGGGAAGGGGGGTAGGTCGGGGGTCACGGGGTAGGGGGGTAAGGGGGGTAGTGTTAGGGCGGGCGCGCCGTGTCGCTCGCTCGCTCGCTCGCTCGCTCGCTCGCTCTCTCTCTCTCTCTCTCTCTCCCTCTCTCTCTCTCTCTCTCTCTCTCTCTCTCTCCCTCTCTCTCTCTCTCTCTCTGCGTGTGTGCGTGCGTGTGTCTGTCTGAGCCATCCGCGGACTCTTCTCTGGCCCTTTCCTGCGTAGGTACACGGTGCGCAACGTCGCTCGCTGCTGGGCGTACGAGACGGCGGTGGTGCTGGGAGAGGCGCGTGTGACTCCCTCCCTCTCTCTTCCTCCCCCCCCCCCCCCTTTTTCCCCTTTTTTTTTTTATTTTTTCCCCCCGCCCCTTCACTTTTTTTTCGTTTCCCCCCCCCCCCCCCTTTTTCCCCTTTGGACCCCCCTTTGTCCCTGGGCTCCGCCCCATTTGGCCCCCCCCCCCCCCCCCCCTCTCCTCACAGGAGCTCGCCGAGGACCTGCCGTGGAACGACTACTACGAGCACTTCGCCCCCGACTTTTCGCTGCAGGCGCCGGCGTACCCCACATGCAGAGGACCGAACCTTGGGGCCCCCGGCCGCACCGGCGCTCTTGGGGGGAGGGCACACACTTCGTAGTCGCCCGTGTTGCCCAGCGGGCCCTCTGGCCACGGTCATGCTGACCCAGGGCATGTCGGAGCAGCCTCCCCACGGCCAGCACACCAGCGCACCCAGCTCGCGCCGCACCGACCCCCCCGACCGTCGCACACTGCCCGCCGTGCGCCCGACCTGCCCCTGCTCTGGGATTCGGGTACCCTAGGGTGTAGGTACCCTGCGCGCCCAGTACCAAACCCTTGGGCCTCTCCTCTCCGTGGCCCACTCTGGCCCACTCTAGCGGCCGACCGACCGTTGCCCCACCGGCCCTCTTTCGCAGGTGACGCCATCGGCAACCATGGAGAACGCAAACACGCGGCAGTACCTCGACACCGTGCGGCAGCAGGTCTTCGAAAACCTGCGGATGCTGCAGGGCGCGCCGGGTGTGCAGATGGAGGCGGTGCCCCACGACCCCGAGGCCGCCGCGGCAGAGGCAGACCCCGATGTTCGGCCCGTAAGCGGGGCGGCGGAGCACCCAGGCGAGCACTTTTGACACCGAAGAAACACACATTGGTGAGACCGGGGGGAAATCGCTGAGCACGTTTATGGCCCGGTCTCCGCGTCTTGGACTAACATATAAATAAATAAATAAAACGGACACCTATCTACTAGGAGATGGGTAAAAAGGAACAGGTCCCCGCCCTGCGGTCTTTGTGCAGGGTTCTTTGTGGGTGTGGTCGGCGACTAAAGCCGTAGCCGGGGTCGTCCTCCCGATGGGGGACTAGCACTAGCCGTCTTCCACATGGTCCCTCGGGTCCCTGCTGCTCCTAATCTCGTCGTACATCCTCCTGCTGATCTCCGCAACGTCCTGCTCCCTCCCTCGTGCCTCGTCTCGCCCTGCGCGTCTGCTCCGCCTCCCCGTCGTCCGCCCTGCGTCGTCTGGTGACGGGTCCTCCATAGTCGGTTGAGGTCGCCGCCCTCCTCGTGCCTCTTCCCAACGTTTCCTCGGCAGCCGATGCCGTCTGCTCCGACTCCGCCGTCCCCTGGTCTGCCCTGCCCTCGTCTGCGCTAGCTTCTGTTTCGTCATCACTGATGTCCGTCCTCTTCTTTCTCCTCTTGTTGTATGCTTTGTACATCGCGTCGATTCCTTTTCGCGTGAGCACCAGCCTGAAGCCCGCCCAGCAGCTGAACCGCTCCCTAAGTCGAAGGAGCATCATCAGTCTCACCCACTTCGCTCGCTGCCGACTGTCTCCGCTCCCTCCCGCTTGGGCCGCCGTCGCGGCCCTCGTTCGTCCCACTGGCTGTTGGCCCGTCCCTGCGTTGCTTGCGTTATCCCTCCTCCTCCGCGACTCCCTCAAGGCTGGCCGTGCCTCCTTCCACCCAGCGAAGAGCTTCCTCAGCCACTCAATGTGTTCCTCTCTCTTCATTATATGCGCGCGGTAGCCTCATCGTTGAGCTGGATCCACCTCTGCACCGCTCCCGTCGCCGCCTCGGCCACGACTTGCAAGTTCCTCGTAACCCCGGCGCCAAGGTCCCTCCGACTCTTCTCCGAGAGATCATCTACCAGCGCCGGCAACACCCCCCCCACGGCTGGGGCTAGTGCATCGTACCCGTCTTGGTTGGAGTTGTCGCCGAGCAGCATCAGGGCATTGAAGAGCGTGGAAGCCCCTTCTGGTGATTTCCTCGTACTGGCCCCCGGGCCCCCGGCCCGAGAGCTCCGCGAAGGCATCTTGACAACCATCCGGAGAAAGTCCTTTGGGGCAGATGTAGCCGAGCTGGCGGCCGCGAGGAGCGGGCGCGTCTCGCTGCTTGAGAGTGTGCTCGATCCAAGACTCTAGGACCTTGACGGCCGTCAGACTGAGGGTCCCCGATGACATGAACGCGGACACGCCAGCCATGGCGATCACGAGCAGAGTGGATGCACGCAACAGAAAGAATGAAAGAACCGACAAACCCAGACGAGGGATGGGGGAGGAGGACAGGGTCCACACCTGCACGAGCAGGATTTTGGAAGGACGATCAGGGGCACAGGTGGGGCTCTCCTGCTCCTGACAAGGGACACGACAGGCTCGCAACGCGGTGCACGGTGGACTCCCGACTCCACTGGCGGTCTCATCTCAGTCTAGCGACCTGCCTCCAGCTTCTCACTGGCAGTCTCTCGCTGCCACAGGCACACTGACAGGGGTGGCAGGGGCGGCGGCAGGAGTCTCCCACATACTATGCGGGCCTCGCTAGAGGAAGGTGCGTCCTGTGTGTGTCCTCGTCCTTGAGGTCTTGAGGGGGAAGGGGAAGGGGCTGTGTGGTGTGTCTGTGCATGCATGCATGTGTGTGTGTGTGTGTGTGTGTGTGTGTGTGCGTGTGCGTGTGCGTGTGTGCATGTGTGGGCGCTCTGTGCGAGCCGCCCTGAGAACGACCACGAGCGCGCCGCGATGCCTCCACCCAAAAGCGGAGGTACATGCCGGCATGCTCTATCAACCCCGCAGCCGCGGTGGCGCGACCGGACCGCGGTTCGCTCCGGCGCCTTTTGGCACCGGTTCGAATCGTGGTGGCGCGCGCCCTCGCGGAGCGACGCGTGGGGCGTGGCGCGCGACGCGCGCGCGTGCGCGTCCGCGCCAAGCCGAGCCGTTGCCGTCTGCCGTCTGCCGTCTGCCGTCTGCCGTCTGCCGTCTGCCGTCTGCCTTTTGGCCGACCGCCGCCGCCGCCGTAGCAGCAGCGAGCGCTCCCTGCGTCGCTTTTTTGCGCGACGCGCAGTGTGACGCGCGCCGCCCAGCGCCGAACGTGCCGGAGCCGGTCCGGCGCGCGCGCGCGCGCGGGCGGCCAGCGCCTGTTAACAGACAGCCGTGCCGCCCGCACGTTCAAAGGGAGGGAAAGATGCACGCAAAACTAAAACATGCCATGTCCGCCTTGCGTTGTTTCATAACATCGAAGGCTAAGCTCAAAGAAACAAAGAAAAAAGAACTCAACGGACAAAGAAAGAAAAGAAAGAAAGAAAACAGACACGCCAAACGAGGGATGGGACGAGGACAGGGTCCCCACCTGCACGAGCAGGATTTTGGAAGGACGATCAGGGGGACAGGTGGGGCTCTCCTGCTCCTGACAAGGGACACGACAGGCTCGCAGCGCGGTGCGCGGTGGACTCCCACATCCACTGGCGGTCTCATCTCAGTCTAGCGACCTGCCTCCAGCTTCTCACTGGCAGTCTCTCGCAACCACAGGCACACTGACACAGGGGTGGCAGGGGCGGCGGCACGAGTCTCCCACATACTATGCGGGCCTCACTAGAGGTGCGGCCTGGGTGCGTGTCCTCGCCCTTGAGGGGGGAGGGGAAGGGGCTGTGTGTCTGTGCATGTGTGTGTGTGTGTGTGTGTGTGTGTGTGTGTGTGTGTGTGTGTGTGTGTGTGTGTGTGTGTGTGTGTGCGTGTGTGTGCGTGTGCGAGCCGCCCTGAACGCCACGAGCGCGCCGCGAGCGCCGTAGCGCCGGCGAGCGCCGTCGGCAGCGCGCGACCGCCACCCAAAAGCGGAGGTACATTAGGAGCCGCAGCCGGCCTGCTCTATCAGCCCCGCAGCCGCGGTGGCGCGACCGGACCGCGGACATGTGGAGGAGAAAATTCTTTTCCGTTTAAATTCTTTTCCGTGTCGTTCTGGGAACCATACGCCGGGCAGCCTCGCGGGGCGCCGCGCATCGCGCCTCCACTCAAGGATTCGCACGATGCGCATCGTCGGCCTCACTGGCGGCATCGCCTGCGGCAAGTCCGCCGTCTCGACGGCGGCGGCCAGTTGGGGCCTCCGCGTCATCGACATGGACGAGATTGCTCGCCGCGTGGTCTGCCCCGGCCTGCCCGCCTACACGGACATCGTCGCAGCATTTGGCGACGGCGCGCTCCTCCCCAGCGGCGAGCTCAACCGCACCGAGGTCGGAAGGATCGCATTTTCCGACCGCGAGAAGCGGCGCGCTCTCAACGCGGCGACCCACCGCCCGATGCTGATGCAGCTCCTCGCGGAGCTCGCCGCTGCGCTCTTTGGCGGCGAGGCGGCCGTCCTGATCGACGCGCCGCTCCTCTTCGAGACATCGCTCCACTGGCTCTGCTGCACAACGCTTGTCGTCGCTGTCGCCGAGGCGACCCAGCCGGAGCGGCTGCGAAAAGCAGTATGTGTCAGACTAAATCATTATGATATCATAGGCGACCCAGCTGGAGAGGCTGCGAGCGCGCGACGGCTTCAGCGCGGAGGAGGCGGAGAAGCGGATTGCGGCGCAGATGCCGCTCGCGGAGAAGTGCGCTCGTGCCGACGCCGTGATTGACAACGAGGGGACTCGAGATGAGTTGGCGGCGAGGGCGGCGACGATCCTCGACGCCGCCGGCGCCATCGCCGGCCAGACACCCTAGAAGCGCAAATGAATCGTGTTCTTGTATTCCAACCAGCGCTCGAGAGGGCACACGCATTCCACCGTATTCAGCTGTAACCCACTGTAGTTGTGTCGCTTGTATTCTGGACGACTCTGCACGAGACCGTCTTCTCGCCCTCATGTTGGTGCACCCAGGCGGGCTACCGTGGTGGGCGAGGCTGCCGCGGACGCGGGTGCTGCTCCTCGACCCGCTGCTGTGGCTGCTTCTCGCGGCGCTGCGGCTGTGCGGCGAGGAGGCCCAGATGCGGAGACACGTGTCCTTGTGAAAAGAGACATCGCTGCGGGCGCACAGCTGCGCAGCACACACCAGGGCGACACGACACACTCCACGCCATGCCGGGGGCGCACACGGCGGCAGACGGCAACCTGTAGACACGGATCCGTCTGAACTCCGTCTGTACTCCGCCGTCTTCGGCTGCAGTCAGTCAGTCAGTCAGTCAGTCTACGCCCTAGCACGGACGGCGGGGCACACGCACTCGCGGAACACACATCACATCTTCGGCTGCACTCCGTCGTATTCCTTGTACTCGCAGCCTCCGCACTCACGCTGCGCTCTGAGCACACGGCACCATACTTGTACGTCCCCCGCTGGAACCGTGTGTCTGGCATGATGGCGTAGGCGTGGAGCCGCTGCCGCACGCGGGAGAGGCGACAAAGTCATGACGTCGAATGACGCCGGCGCTACTTGCCTGCTGCCTCTGCTGCCTGCTGCCTCTGCCTGCCGGTGGGTGCGCGCCACCACTCTCACCGTGGTCCCGCGCGCAGCGCGCGGAGGTAAGGCCGCCACGCGCGAGTCTGGGGAGGGGGAAACCAGGGCGTGTCCGCAGTTTGGGTCTCAGTTGTGTGTGTATGTTCTCTGTGTGTGACCTCTGTGTGCGTTCTTTAGCGACCAAGGGGCAAAATCCAAAAAACTGTTATAGGCAAAAACACATATATGCACGTGCAGTAACACCATATTTAACTCACGCCGCAGCAGGCGTTGGACGTTGGAGCGGTCCTTAGAAGAGGAGAAAGAAGAGGAGAGGCGCCAGTGATGACGAAACAGAAGCTAGTGCAGACGAGGGCAGGGCAGACCCGGGGACGGCGGAGGCGGACCAGACGGCATCGACCGCCGAGGGAACGTTGGGAAGAGGCACGAGGAGGGCGGCGACCTCAACCGACTATGGAGGACCCGTCACCAGACGACGCAGGGCGGACGACGGGGAGGCGGAGCAGACGCGCAGGGCGAGACGAGGGAGGGAGCAGGACGTTGCGGAGATCAGCAGGAGGATGTACGAAGAGATTAGGAGCAGCAGGGACCCGAGGGACCATGTGGAAGACGGCTAAAGTGCTAGTCCCCCATCGGGAGGACGACCCCGGCTAGTCGCCGACCACACCCACAAAGAACCCTGCACAAAGACCGCAGGGCGGGGACCTGTTCCTTTTTACCCATCTCCTAGTAGAGGTGTCCGTTTTATTTATTTATTTATTTGGAGCGGTCCTTGCCCTCGCATGCGGCACTCTTGTATGCTGCACTCTTGCTTCTGCGTGTACTCCATCGACGCCGTGTGACACTGCGCCGCGTCCACCTTCTAGCACTGTAGCAAGGGGCAGATATGTGCCCATGGGCATCCCTCAATGGGGTTTCGCGTGATAACCGCACTGTCGCAGGAGGTGAGGCACGAGGACGCCCATGAGGACCGGTGGCCTGACCTACATCGAGAGGCTTCACCTATTATTCTCCTTCTCTCTCTCTCCTTCCCTCGCTCTCTCTCTCTCTCTCATTCCAGAGTGATGAATAGTCCGCCGTGTCCCCATATCCCTATATTCCCACACCCTGCGCAGTGGCACGTCGTTGACACCCAGACCCCTAATATTGGACATCTTGGGCACGTCACCTGAGCCCTGGTCTGACAGCCTGACAGCAACCCCCGGACAGCGCCTGACAGTGCCCGACAGCCTGACAGCGCTGACAGCACTTTCTCTGACAGTCTGACAGCACGTGTCTGACAGCCTGACAGCAGAGTCTGGCAGGCGAGGGGTTCCGTCGCTGTCAGGCCCTAACGTGACAGCCTGACAGCTGCCTGACAGCCCGACAGCACACAGTGGCCTGACAGCAGCGCTGACAGCCTGACAGCCCGACAGCAGCACAGACCGTACACAGACCCCATAGAGCCTCTTTTTTGTGCCCCATTGAGGGTATAACAAAGTTACATGCAAAGACATGTGAGTGTGGTCCATGTCCATGTAGTCATGGGATGGTCATGGGTCTCTCTCTCAACCCTCCCGCCCGCCACCTCTGCGGACCCCTCTCTAGCACCGGCGGCTGTGCTACTACAAATGAAGCTACAAGCTGACGAGCGACAACGATGGGGAGGCCTTCCGCTGGACCAGCAACTACCAGATCATCAGCAAGGTGTACCTGAAGAAGCACTCCACCCTGCCTCTCTGCTATTCTCTCAGTGCGGCAGACAAGAAGATGGGTGACGTCCACTCGTCCACCATGAAAAAGATGGTGGGACCGGAGGCAGAGTAGAGGCTAGAGTATGTATGTGTAGTAGAGTCCTGCTGGTCTCCTCTTGATAGTGTCATAAGTGTGGCTGGTGTGTGTCAGAGCCTGACAGCACCCCGACAGCACCACCTGACAGCACCTGACAGCAACAGCCCACCGTCTGACAGCAGCAGCAGCCTGACAGCTCTGACAGCTCCGACAGCGTCTGACAGCAACACCCGACAGCTCCGACAGCACCCGACAGCTACAGAACCCCTCGCCTGTCAGACATGCACCCGACAGCACCCGACAGCACACTGACAGCACCTGACAGCTGGTCTGACAGAGGCACCTGACAGTGCCTGACAGCTGCCCGACAGCCCGACAGATCACCTGACAGCACCTGACAGCCTGACAGCCAGGGCTCAGCACGTCACGCTTCCCCAACTCCCGTTGTGCAAGTTTGGCACGTCATTGTCTCTGACTGCTTCTCGTGGGGCCGCCGCGCCGCGAGACAGTCGACCTCTCTACTGTTGTGACACCACAACACGGCGCAGCTGGCGTCTTCCCCCCACCGGTGTGACACCACACCTTCGTACTTTGAATACTCTCTACAAACATGTCTTCCTCGGCTGAGGAGGCCCGCGACACCGTGGGCAAGCTATCTCCCGCGACCAAACCGCAGGACCGCGTACGACTCAACATACACGTGCTGGGCACCGATGATTCGGGTTCAGATGACCATCTCTCGAGCGAGAGACGAGGGACGCCTCACGAGACTCCAGAGGGCCTAGACCGGGGCGATACCACCCGGTCAGACCACACTGATCACCTCCACACCACGTTGGAGCGTACTGGGCCCAAGGACGACACCGATGCGCTGGACAAGCCATCGTCGCCTGGCTCCGCCGAGGTCAGGGCTACGCCAGCTGGAATGCCTTCTGCCAGGCTGCCGGCGAGCCCTCCTTCGGCGGAAGCCTTACTGGACCCGAAAGGGTTTGACTTGAACGTGGCAGCGATCAAGCCATCCGCAGTGGACTCGCCTCCTGGTTTGAGCACCACGCAACCACCTTTTGACGCCCGAACGGGCATGCGACCTTACGTCCCTGCCGAGGACGTCACGGGATTCTCGACCGACGGCGTGGAGGCGCTACAGCTGCAGGTGCAACAGTTCGTGCAACGCGCTGAGGAAGGCACAGCCGCGCTCATGCCCAACGATGTTGGAGTCATCGCCAGGCTCGCCTCTGATCTGCACGGCGCAGGGGAGCGGTACATGGCCACCGCCGAGCTCCTCGCGTCCTACCGTGAGGAGCGGTGCGCCTTCCAAACCTGTGTCGGGCAGGCAGCGGCGACCTACGGGCAGCAGCTATCGAATGGTGACTTCTCCGCCAACGGCAAGCTCACCGAGGCGGCGCTCTGCTTCAACGTGCTAAACGGGGAGCTGGGTGCCTTCGAAGCCGAGGTGGACGAGGGGCAAGCCACCCTCGACCAACTGGAGCAGCGGTATCATACCTCCCGCCTCGAGTACATTGCGGAGCAGGCACGGCTGCTGCAGATGCTTGAGGGCGCGGCCCCTTCCAAGCTTGCTCGGGCGAATGCTGCAGCACTCAAGCATCACCAGTCGCAAATCAGCTCGCTGGCCGATGAAGTCGCGCAGCAGCGTCAGGCGATGGTGGAGCAGAGCCGAGCGACGGCGGCGCTTGGTCGGCAGGCGGAGGAGCACAATGCAGAAGTGCAGCAGGGATTTGAGCAGGTGAACGCCAACCTCGCTCAAGGGTTCCAGGCGTTTAGGCTGGTGTCGCGGCTGTCCCCGCTGCCGCTGCTACGTCGCTCGTCGCGCTCGACGCTTCCTTCGCTTTGCCCGGCTCTCGCTCGAACGTCTCGACGTCTGATGTTTGCGAACCGTGCGACGGCTGTTCCATGGATATGCCAAATGCGTCGCGATGCAGCCTCCACCCCTGGGTGTGCCGAAACGTTCCTACGTAGTGCCACACTCCCCAGCTGCCATTCATTGCCGCGCCCCTCCCCGGGGGAATGGTCATGTTTGTGTCGCAGGAGGTGAGGCACGAGGACGCCCATGAGGACCGGTGGCCTGACCTACATCGAGAGGCTTCACCTATTATTCTCCTTCTCTCTCTCTCCTTCCCTCGCTCTCTCTCTCTCTCTCATTCCAGAGTGATGAATAGTCCGCCGTGTCCCCATATCCCTATATTCCCACACCCTGCGCAGTGGCACGTCGTTGACACCCAGACCCCTAATATTGGACATCTTGGGACGTCACGCTTCCCCAACTCCCGTTGTGCAAGTTTGGCACGTCATTGTCTCTGACTGCTTCTCGTGGGGCCGCCGCGCCGCGAGACAGTCGACCTCTCTACTGTTGTGACACCACAACACGGCGCAGCTGGCGTCTTCCCCCCACCGGTGTGACACCACACCTTCGTACTTTGAATACTCTCTACAAACATGTCTTCCTCGGCTGAGGAGGCCCGCGACACCGTGGGCAAGCTATCTCCCGCGACCAAACCGCAGGACCGCGTACGACTCAACATACACGTGCTGGGCACCGATGATTCGGGTTCAGATGACCATCTCTCGAGCGAGAGACGAGGGACGCCTCACGAGACTCCAGAGGGCCTAGACCGGGGCGATACCACCCGGTCAGACCACACTGATCACCTCCACACGCACCCAGTGTTCCAGAGAGAGAGATTTTTAGCAATACACTATTCAATACCGTAAATAGAGTTGCTGTGTGAGAGAGTTGTTTTCCGTGCTTTTGGCTTTTCTTGGTTGGATTTGGGCCTCGGGGCGCGCTCATCGTGTGGTCGTGGTGTGAGTGTGTGTGGAGTGCGCGCGCGCGACCGACACGGATGGTCGGCTCCAGCGACCAGCGCGCAGCGGGCAGACCAGCGAGAAGTGTTGTCATCAACAGAGGGAAAACGTAAGAGCTTCATACAAAGTACACTGAAAAAGTAAGGTCTGACCTCGAGACAACCGACGTGTGTGTGTCTCAAAAAGTCGTCGTAAAACAATACTGGTGGAGTTCAGACGCCACCAGCCTCCTCTTCCAGCGCCACCAGCTTATCGCGAAGGCCAACGACAGCCAAGTCGAAGTTCTTTCGCAAGCTCACCTGCTCCTTCTCGGGCAGTGCCGCCATCGCTGCGTCATAGGCCTCACGCACCGCAGCGTACGCGGCACGAACCTCCTCGAGGTCGGCCTTGAAATCATCCGAGCTGCGGTCGTCGTCGTCTAGCAAGTCGCTCAGCAGCAGGTTAGCCTCGGCGAGTTCGTCGGAGAGGTGATCGGCTGGCGAGCGGCCCGACACAAAAGACCGGAGCTGTGGTGTCGCAGTGGCGGGCAAGTGCGGAATCCGTGATGCGAGCCTCGACATGGCGTGCTGCCTCCCTCCGCAATGCAGGCGGCCGACGCCGCGACGCGCGAGTGACGCGAGCATCGTAGCGAGCGCGAGGACTGCCCGAGGGACCAGAGGAGACAAAGCGGCCCCGCACAAAGCGTGCCGGGAACGGGCGGCGAAGACACAGAAAGAATTTAAAAAAATCTTTTTTCCTTCGGTGCGGATAGACAGAGAAGGAAAGAACTCCAGGAATTTCTTCCCGCACCCAAGGTCGACCAAGTCGTCCTGGAGGACCTGCTCGCGCTGTCGACTCGTTGGGCTGAGAGTCGCTTGCGAAGGCACCCGTAGCATTTTCTGTCGCCTCGAGGGCAAGATGGCGGGGAGCGATCGGGGCAGGGATGGCTCGATAGTAACTGAGGCGCCTCAGATGCTTCACGACCTGAATGCCTCAGTGAAGACTCCAGCCGTCGACAGAACTGAGAACACTGAGATCCTCGAAGAGACTGAGCTGGAGGAAGAGAACCACGCGAGCCTGCTGGCCGGGGCGAGGGCGGAGAGTGAGCGCACCGGCGATAAGCTCGACCCAATCCTCGGCCGGCCGGTGGATGCGCCTCGCGAGCCGACTGGCCACTTCACTCCTTTGCGGCGCCTGATGCCACCGGCACCCGAGTGGGCACTAGAGACCGTACTGACAGGTGTACTCTCGGCTGTGTGTTTTGTAGGGGGTGGCCAGTAGTCAGTTTCGGTGGTGCGCTCTCTGACCGGTGTGGCGGTGTAAAATCACGTTGGCTGTGTTGCGGTCTCCCCGTCGGACTCCACACCACTGACCAGAGTACAGACACAGACTAATTTTAGCCCGCGTCCCCACGGGTCTGTTGTATACTAGAAATGGGGTTGCTAGAACTATATTCACCCATGCTTCACTTCACCAAGCTTTCACAGATCCCCGCGAGCTGTCGCAGCTCAAGCGCTCGCTGCCTCGCCGGCCCTTCCAGCGCAGCATCGCTGAGCCGGCAAAAGTGAAGTGGTGCGCACGTGACGCGAATGATCGACATCAGCCAGCACGGAAAATGGTACAGCTCGAGGGCCATGCCTTTGATGTGGAAGCTCCAAAGAAAGTGGGTCGAGCATTGGCTCAGCACGAATGACCAGACGTTGAGAACGAGTACGGGAACGGGGCTGCCGGCCCAGAGTAAGAGGCGGTTCAAGACGAGGACAGTCAGAGGGAAGACGCCACCATAGGCGAACAGATGGAATGTGACCCCTATTATTGGCATCAGCGCCTCATAGTAGCGGGTTGACGCCTGCCAGCCTGACGAGACGACAAACATGGCGCTGTTGATGCAGATGGTAGTGACCAATGCCAGGTTGACAAAAACGAATCCAGCGAGGGCGTCCATCCACCCTTCTTCTATCGTTTCATCCGCCTGGCCGGTCTGAGCCGCATCACGTTCGGTAAATTCGAGGATTGCGATCGGCACCGTGAGGAGAAGGCCGCTCACAACCCCAGTGAGCTCAAACGTCTTGAGCATGAGACCCTGTCGCTCAGCCGGCTTTACCAGCAGCAGCGAGAGGAAGGGGGCTGCTATCGACCGCAACCGCTTAGGCGGCGTGCCGTCTGCAGCCGGCAGCAGTAGGAAGTGCCGCAGCAGCTCGGACATCGGCACTCCCTGATCGATCGTCGCCTTTAGCAGCTCGGCCTTGACGGCAATCTTCAGGCCAATGGGTGCGGCAAACGCTTGCCAGTCCTCAGGGTCAGCGAGCTGTAGCTGCCACGCCGCCTGCACTCCGTGCTGCGCCAGCGCCTCCAGGAGCGGAGCCTTTGCGCCCTGGAGACCGGAAGCGGCAGCGGCAGCCTCGACGATCGTCTCGACGGGTCGCACGTCGTGCTCAGTAGGCAGCCCCTGGAGCTGGAGCTCCGACAGGCCGCGCGTGAGCACGGCGCCGCTCGACGGGCTCACGCGTGGCGGCATATGTTTGTGTGTGTGGTCCGCATAAATGCATGCGTTCGTTACATAAAGAAAGAATTTTTACCAGAAAGAAAGAATGTTCAAAGCCGAAAGCAGTGTGCGGCGTTCGTTACATTGTAAGCTGATAAATATCACAGGGATTTTTTAGCGCGCCTGCGGCGGCTTCTCAGGTCTCGAGAGAGAGGCCGCCGCGCGGCCCTCTGTCTCGAGAAAACAGCGGCCACCTTGCTCTCTTTCTTGGATGATTGCGCGCGTCCGTCCTATCATCCTCTCCCGCGTCCACGCACACCGAGATGCCCTCGCCCACGCACAACAGATCCCTTTACATTAACCTGGCCGACGAGAGGATCTATCGGTCGGCCTTCAACCTCACGCGACCGCTCCTGCTCCAGAGAATGCGTTACGTTGAGCACATGCTGGCTTTCCTGCAGCACGCGGAGCTGAAGACCTTCCCGCTGATGGAGCAGGTGCTGCGTGTGAGCTGCGCCCAGGAGGGCAGCTTTGTAAAGACCTTCCCGCTGATGGAGCAGGTGCTGCGTGTGAGCTGCGCCCAGGACAGCGCGGCAAACTTGGCTGGCGGGTACCGCTTCCGGAAGGCTGCGGCAACGACCTCCTCCACTTCCAGCGGCAGCGAACGAGCGAGCACGACGCCACCGCGGAACGGAAGCGGGACGGAAGCGACGGCCGCACACGACGCGCGTGGAGCTGGTTGGACAGCGAAAGAAGAAAGAAGGTAGCAGGATGAGAAAACGCAGCCCGAACTGCCCTTGTCGTGCATTTGTGCTGTGAGAGAGGCCCCGGCCTACGGCAGCTGCCGAGGTCGACGAGCAGCGAGGAGCGGTTGCGGCTCTTAGCAGACAGACGAAAATGCGCTCGGTAGCGCTGCGCCGTCTCCGGGCTCGAGTTCGTCCGACCGCTCGTCACGTCCACCTCCCGGCATCCTCGTCGCGTGCGCGGTGTGCAGAGGCGGAGGAGGCCAGGGCGCGGTGTGGAGAGGCGGCGGAGGAGGACAGGCTGAGGAACGAGCGCGCGCGTGCCGCGGCTGCCCTTCGCGAGGAGCAACGATCTCGTGTCCTCGCGGCGCTTGCGAGCGGCCCGCGGCTCGTGGTCGACCTCGCTCCCGCGTACACCGCCCTCATGTCCGCGCGGCACCGCCGCTCGCTCTCGCAGCAGCTCGGCCGATGTTGGGCCCTCAATCGGCGGGCGCCGGCGCCGTTTGCGATGCACCTCGCCTCGCTGCGGACGTGCCCGGCGGAGTGCTTACCGGCCGGCGGCGAGCACGAGCGGTGGCTGGTGGGGCGGCTCGACGGCGAAGTGAGCGACCACTTTGGGAGAGAAGGCAAGCTGCTGCTCGAGGCGCGTGCGCGTGGGCGTGTGAACAGCGCCTCTTTCAGAGCCGCAGCCGTGGACAGGCGCGCCGCGACTCGAGTGGTTGCGGAGGTGGCCGGCGCCTCTTCACCCCGCCGCTGTGTGCAGGCATCGCCTCTCGCCGGAGGCAAAGAAATCAGACGCCGAAGAGAAAAAGAAGACCGCCGCTGTGAGCAGGCATCGTCTATCTCTCCCCGGACGCGGAGGAGGTGCTGGAGGTGCCGTGGGATTCGGAGAGCGCCAGAGTCGGACCGCTCCACACCGACCACACAACACACCGGAGCGGCACACTCCACCACAGACCACCCAAGATCAGACTCTCCCCAGGCGCCGCTCGAGGCGGAGAAGACGTACGTGATCGGCGGTCTCGTGGACGGGACTGTGGTCAAGCACGCCTCGATAGACGGACAGATACACGCCACAGCCACACACACACACACACACACACACACACACACACACACACACACACACACACACACACACACACACACACACACACACACACACACACCTCACGCGCGCACGCACGCACGCACGCACACAGACGAAAGAGAGTCAGACCAACGACTGGGACAGCACAAGACGCCCCGACGACCGGGCTGCCACACATCCGCAGCGTGGCGAAGCCTCGCCGGGGAGGCAGCGGTGCTGTGAGTGTGAACAGCGCCTCTTCACACCTGCTCGTGTTGTGAACAGGCACGCCTCGCTCCGCCGCGCCGCCGCGCTCGGCGTCGCGGCGGCGCGGATACCGCTCGCAGAGCACGCCGCGCTGGGTCGCTCTAGCTAGATGCGGATCCGTGTGATTTCCTCGAGTACGGCACTGGAACAGCGGCACGTCTCTCAGCTGCATTCAGCTGTGTTCAGCTGTGTTCAGCTATCTTCAGCCGTGTTCACTGCCATTGGTGCATGCATGGCGCAGGCCGCTCTTCCCAGCCGGTGGACCGTGCGGGCGTGCTCACGCTGCCCGCAGCGGTGGACGTGCTGCTTCGCGTGCACGCGGGCGCCAGCTGGAGTCAGGCCATGCGCGCGGCGCTGCCGCCTCGTTTCTTCCTCTCGGCGGAGGAGGAGGCGGAGGCCCGAGCCAAGAGGCAAAGAGCCAAAGAACAAAGCCGAAGGACTACGTGAGATGCTGTGCGCGCACAGAGCCATCGCCTCCGTCTCGTTCGGCTTGGCGTGCAATGCGCCGCGGCCTTTCAATGAATCGTAATAGCAAAAACAGCAAACTGGGTTTCATGACTTTCAAACTCGCATATGTCTAGTGACTAGTCGAGCCCCGCCCACACGGCGCGCACGGCACTGTTTCGGGCCGGCCTGGGGCAGGGGCGCCCACGCCCACGCTAGGGAAGCGCGGCGCCGCTAGCGCCACGCGCCACGCGCGCGCCCCAGGCACGCCGAGGCAGCCGCAGAGCCCACACACATGATCCCCCACATAAAACACAATGGTCGTATGCACAAACTCGAAATAGGTACCCCTGGCAGGGCCACAAGGTGGCCCTGGGCCTGACAGAATCCACCATTGAGTCGGCCCGGAACATCAGACAGATAGAAAACTCCAAGTGAAAAGACCAAAAAAAGAAATTAAATTCCCCGCACGCCGCTTTTGCCTCTCCCGGGAGGATGGTGGCGTGGCTTGATGCGCTCGTTTGTGTGACATCCTTCTGCGCCTTCCATTGGGGGGACTGGTTTTTGGGGCTTGCACCCCCCCTTCTTCTCATCCTTTCCGCCAACTGGCAGGGCGGCGCGCGGCCCTTTGTTGCATTGTTCGAGAGCGCAGCATTCACCGTGTTGGACGTGGTCATCTGGACGGTTGAGCACGTGCTGTCTCCGTTTCAAGAGCCACCGATCTTCGTCCAGAGGGCACGTTACGAGCAGCAGCGGGAGCGTGAGCAGCAGCAGCGGCGGGAGAAGGCGGCGGCAGAGGCGGCAGAGCGCGATCGTCAGAGACGTGAGCGGCGGGAGAAGGCGGCGGCAGAGGCGGCAGAGCGCGAGCGTCAGAAACGCGAGCGGCGGCGGCGGAGGAAGGCGGCGGAGCCGCCGAGGCGGCCGACCGGAGGAGGTGAAATGGCGGCGGTGGCAGAGGAGGAGCTGTTGAGTGAGGCGGCGAGGGCAGCTGCAGGACTGGGACGCAACATCAACACAGCACCCGAGGAGCCGGTCATGAATACTCCGACCGATGGCGCGGAGGAGCAGGCGGCGGCGGCGGCGGTTGCGGCAGAGGCCCCTCCCTCTTCTCGCCCGCCAAGGTCCGCCACGGCGGCCGCGGCGGCCGACGCGGGAGCACCGGCCCCCACGCACGGCGCGCCCCCGCCGCCCCACGCCCTCGTCTCGCTCGCAGACGCTAGCTTCGACACGGGCCGGCCGCCGGAGTCCACGATGGGCGGCGAGACGACGTGCATAATTTGCTTCACCGACCCGAAGTCTCACATAGCGACGCCGTGTGGCCATGTGTGCGCTTGCGGCCGGTGCTCCGCAAAGATGGAGCGGTGTCCTGTCTGTCGCGCGCCAGTCGAGAGGTGGTTCCAGGTGCATGTGGCGTGAGAGGGTGTACCTGTACGTATTTCGATGCGGTGGAGCATAAAAACAAAAAAACTTGAATTCCAAAACCCGGACGTGCCTCCACCGGCACGCCGCTTCCGACAGGGTGATGCTGATGGAAGGTTCGACGCTGGACGCACCCGCCACCCCCCCGGTGCGGCCCGGACTGGGCGGAGAGATCCCAGGGTAAGAGAGAGAGACTGAGAGAGATTGATGATTGTTTTGTTTTGTTGTTAACACGTATAGCTGGGGTTGGCCGGTTGCAAGGCCCATGTAACGATGTGAGTTCTTCGTTGTGCGGCCATGTGAGTGTACACACAGTCCTGAGAGACAAACACTCATGGCGCCTAAAATGATTTCTTTTCCTCCTCTGGCCGAGTCGGCGAGGGTCGCACCCAGCTGGTCGATCTGCTGCCGTGCCACGCTGCCAAAATGAGCGCGCGCGACCCACCACCTCGCGTTCTTCTCGGCGTCATGTCCAACCCTGTCAAGCCCGCAATGCGCGCCCAGCAGCGCAAGTGGGCCGGCCACTTCCAGCACGCAGCCAACGTGGACGTGCGGTTTGTTCTGGGCACCACCTTTTTCAACAACACGCAGCGGCCTCCACCCGAGTGGGACGAGCTCAAGGCGGAGGAGAAGGAGCACAAGGACATCATCTTTGTCGAGGGCCGCGAGAAGCTGCCGCACGTCGGCGTCGTCACGGAGAAGAGCGCGTCGTTCTGGCTCTCGCGCGGCGCCGAGTCGCCGGGGTACGAGTGGTACTGCAAGTGCGATGACGACACGCTCGTCCACCTCTCGCGCCTCGGCGAGACCCTCGCCAACGTGACCCGATCGCTCGGCCGCACAGCCCACGTCTACTTTGGCCACCTCAAGTGGCGCGGCTGGGAGGCGGGCCACCGCTTCCAGGCGTGCGGCGGCGGGTGGGGCGACTCGGCCAAGACGCTGAGCGATATCCTCGGCGGCGGAGGCATGCCCGACGGATCGCGCTATCCCCCCTGCCCGCACGCCGCGGGTCCGGTGCCCTACATGAGCGGAGGCATGGCCTGCGCGACTAGAAGCGGAAGACGCGCTCTTGTCTCCCAACCAGCGCTCGAGAGGACGCGGACTCCGCTGCATTCGGCCGTATTCAGCTGTATCCAGCGCATTCGCACCCCTCGTACTCACGCGCTGCTCTGCTGCACGATACCGCACACGCAGGTCTGCATGTCGCGGCCCCTCGCCGTGGCGATGGCGGCCGACGCCGCCTTCCGAGACTTCTACGAGACCGCGCGCAAGCGGAACGACCGCGGAGTCGCGTGCAAGCGTCCGGAGCGGTGCGCCGCGCAGCCGTACGCCAGCCACATGTGGCACCACGAGGACGCGGAGGAGATGGAGCCTTCCCCGAACCTTCCCAGAGCCTCCCCTGAGCCTTCCCTGAGCCTTCCCTGTAGGACGCGGGCGTGGGATTCAACGTGTTTCGTGCGGCGCCGACGCAGCAGCGCCAGGTGCACGTCGTGCCGGTGGCGGGACATGTCCAGGACACCTCCACGACATGTCTGAGACACGTCCCATAGGTGCACATTGTGCCGGTGCCGGGACACTACAACGACCCTTACATCATCGAGCGCACTCGCTGGACGGAGTCCGTCGCCTCCCTCTCTGCCGAGGACGAGTACTGGTCCAGGCGCGAGATCGAGCCGAGATCGAGCCGAGATCGAGCCGAGATCGAGCCGAGAGATGAGGACGAGTACTGGTGGTCCAGGCGCGCCCTCTTTGTGCACGGCATCAAGACTCGCAAGTCGTACCAGGAGGCGGAGAGGAGGTGGGAGCTCAGATCTCCCCAGATCTCCCCAAATCTCCCCAAATCTCCCCAAATCTCCCCGCATCTGCAGGTGGGAGCTCGGGCGCGCGAGCGCAGACCTGCGCCTGCACTGCGCGCCGTGCGACCTCCCAAACACCAACCGCCACAACGGCGAGAGACAGCCGAGAGATCGCCGAGAGATCGCCGAGAGATCGCCGAGAGATTGCCGAGAGATTGCCGTACTCCTCGACGCAGGCAGCCGGCGGCGCGTTGCCCCCCCCCCCCCCCCCCCCCTCGCGTGTGTGGAGAAGATGACCCCCCCCCCTCCCTCACCCCCCCCCCCTCGCCTCCCCCTCACCAGGCAACTGGCGCGCCGCACGACTGCCGTGTGCTCACCTGCGCAACAACACGCCGGCGGCGGCGGCGGCGGCCGCGGCCCTCTTCGACGACGCCTCGCCCGCCGCCCGGGAGGCTGCCAAGGTTGGCGCCGCCATCTTGCGTCAAGAGTCAGGCGCGGGACGGTTCGTCGACCCGCGCTTCTGCGCCGTCCCGATCGGGGACGCCTTCGCGTGCTGCGGCTGGCCGTGGCAGCTGCCGCAGCTGCGCTCGCTGGTCCTGCGCGGCGTTGCGGCGTGGGCGGAGGAGCGCGGCGGCGCGTCGAGCGAGGTGATGACGCCCGAGGCGCTGCACAAGGTGATCAAGCGGCTGTACCGCGACGAGTCCAAGGGGGTGCACAACCGCAAGGGCTGCGTCGCCGACTGCTTGCGCATCGTCGTGCCGCGCGGGGTCGACTTCGAAAAGACTCTCGCCGAGATGGAGCTGAGGGGGGACGTGCGGCTCCTCTGGTCCACCCCGGATGGCAAGCGGCCGCCGGCGCGCGGGATGAGCTGGGAAGGCGTCGGGCGGGCACAGGTGGCCAGTGTCGCGCCGTGAACGCGAGTCAGGCGGACGCACTTGTACCAGGACTTGTGCGGCGGTGCTTCTCGTGCTTCTCGCCCCCGACGGCGCCGCACCGCGCAGGCTGAAAAAATCAAATGTCCTCATCACATGCGTCTCGTCTGTGTGCTGTCAAGTTGGTCGTGTGTGTGTGTGTGTGTGTGTGTGTGTGTGTGTGTGCGTGTGTGTGTGTGTGTGTGTGACGTGGGACTTACACTGCAGAGGTTTTTGCATTACCAAACAATTCGCCTCTGTGCTCTGAGCCCCACGGTGGGGGAGAGCGCACAATGCGTGAGCTGTGGTCTGTGGAGAGTAGCTGGAGAGGGTGCGTCTCCGGAATGGTCTCCGCGTCTGTCTCTCTGTGTGGCTCTCGCGGGGGGCGTGGGCTTTTTCAGTCTACGTCCTAACATATTTGTGCGTACCGCGATAAGCCATTTTATGGAGTCCAGACGCCGTCCATGTCCTCTCTACTGCGCTGATAACTTTACTCTATGCCGTACACTAGTCTCTACGGAAGTGGGCCGTCGCAAAAATAGGGGTGCGTTGTGCGCCTCGCACCTCTCTCTGAAGAGTCGGCACTGATTCCGAGTCAGCACGACGCCCGCCCATCGGCAGGGTCGTACTCCATGCATGGAACAGATCGTCATCGGCTGTGCGGCCCCGCGGCTCGGCGCCTTCAGAGAGGTAGCTGGTCCACCTCCCCCCCCGCCGCAGTGTCAACCTCCACGCCGGCCGGAGGGAGCAGCCTGCCCCAGAGCGCGCGCGGGCCGGAGGCGGTGTTGCCGCGCACCGCCCCTCGCGTGTCGGCGGAGAGGCGGAGGGCGACGTCGCTGCCGAGCTGCGTCTCGAACGCGCAGCCGGTGACCGTGATGCGGCCTCCCCGCTCCGCAAAGACCGCGGTGCGCACGTTGCGGAAGGTCGTGCCGCGAGCGAGCAGGGAGCACTCGGCGTCGCAGATCTGCACGGCCGACGACGCCGTCGAGATGGTGCAGTCGACGAGCTCGAGCCGCGCACCTGGGTGCGGCGAGGTGCACTTCTCCACACACACGAGGTGGTTGGGCGAGGGCGAGGCTCTCCTTCGCGACTGCGCGCGTGGGCGAGCGGCATGAGTGTGTCGGTGTGTGCGCGCGCGCCTCCGCGCAACACGACGCCGGCGCACGCGCGGTGCTTTGGGCGGGACGACTCGATGGAGCAGTGCTCGAGCCGCCACGTGCCGCCCAGCAGCGTCACGGCGGGGTTGTAAAAGTGCGAGAGCGCCACGCCGCGCAGCACTCCGACCCGCGAGGACGCTGCCGAGCCGCGCAGCGTGAGCGGGCCGGAGAGAGTGCTCAGACCTGCCCTCTCCGCCTCAACCTCGAGCGCATGGCACAGCTCGAGCGGGGTCGCGTGCACGCCGCAGAGCAGGCGCAGCCGGTCGCCGGGCCGGGTCAGCCGGAGGCAAGCCCAGCCCCGCCCGCGCGGCGCGGTGAGCCACGCGGAGGACCAGAGCGCCGCAATCGCGGGCCCGGCGCCCCGGTCGAGCAGCCGGCGCCACTCCGGGCACACGCACGCCGCGGAGCGCAGTGTCCACGCGTCGGTGACGAAGCTAAAGACGTGGACGAGCAGCTCGGCGCCGCCCTGCTCGAGGGCGGCGCGGCAGGCGGACGAGGAGGCGGCTTGGCCCGCGAGGGCCAGCCCGTGCACGAACGCGCGCCGCGTGCGACGCGCCGCATACGCCGCGCCGCAGAACGCCGCGGCGCGCGCCGCATCCTCGCCGCCGCCTCTCACCGTCACGAGGCGTCGGCCACGCCGGGCGGCGGCCGCGGCGGCCGCGGCGACGGAAGGCTCGCATGCGCACTCTCCCTCGCGTCGGGCGAGCGAGATGAGCGCCTCGCACTCTGCGCACACGAGCTCCGCCGCCGCGCCGCCGCCCTCGCCGCCGCCGCCCTCGCCGCCGCCGCCCTCGCCGCTCGCTTCCGCCGCCGCACACGCGCCCTGTGCGCCTGCGCCTGCCCGCTCGGCCGCGCAACGGCGGTGCACCCAGCAGCGGCACGCCACGCACTGCACCGCCTCGTCGAGCTCGCCTCCCGCCGCCGCGGCAGCAAATGGGCGGGCGGCGGCGCGGCCGATGCGGCGGGCGGGTCGGACGCCGGCGCCCGCTGCCCGGCCGCCTACCAACGACCCATATGACT